ATTTTTAACCAGACTTATATTTATCGATAAATTTTAAATTTCATAGTAAAATATTTCAGCGTTCAATAATTATAACAATATAAAATTTGCGACCCCCTCAAATTGAGAGAGGTTTAAACTTTATATGGTCAAAAATCTCGAAGACCAAGTAATGCTGGATACGGACCTGCTGATACGTGCCCAACAACTTTCTTATTTCATCAAAGATGTTACGATAAGTATGTGAATATAAAAACATTAAACATTTTATAACATTGGAAAAATAGAGCAGAAAATGTCAACGAGAGTGTAGGCGTGGATAATGCATTCTCATTTAAGCGTAGAATCTCAGCTCGGAAAAGAGATAGATCAGGTAAATTAAAAAACCTTTTAGTGTGAAATGCAAAGCAAAGGATATTGCCCTCAGTTTTCACGTTTTTTTTATGTTTTATATACTACTTCAAAATTAAAATAATTCCTTTGTTTCATGAAAAACTATTGCGGATGAAAAGTGTTGCATTTGCTATTGCAAAAAGACTAATAAATATAGGAACGGATATAAAACGTTTACACCCATCGGGCAGCGGACCTAAAAAAGACGTCTTTTTAACCTTCAAAAGACGCCCAAAATGTTTAAAAGACGTTCAAAAGATGTTTAAAACGAGTATAAGACGTTTAAAAACGTCTTTTTTACGTCCGTGCCTACTGGGCAAAATTTGTAACAGAAAGTGCAGAAAACATGTTAAAAGAAAACGCTTAAGTAAAGCTGAAAACCCAGCTAGTATATTGGGCAAACCATAGTTTCCTTAGAGTTATATTATCATCGGACTTGTTACCTTGTAACTATACAAGACCCCAAAAAGTTCCTTTTATTTTAACAGAAGATGCAATTATGCGTTTTCTCTTCGACTATGTGACAGAACACGTATTAGACAATTTAGAGATTACTCATACAAGTAAGCTATTTGAATTTTAGAAGGAAAACTGCACAGATAGAGCAAAGATTCTAGATAAAAGGACTTTGCAGTATGCTGTAGTTGCAGAACTTGCGGGTCTGTTCAGTTGCGGTCACCAAAATAGGGTATTCTTTCTTATACAACAATACCATTGAGAAGGGGAAAATAATTAAAAACTGATTGAACAGCTTATCCATCATGTCGCACAAAAGATTCGCAGCGAGGTTTTATCTTATATATTATCTTATATATTAACATACTTTAAACTGCCAATATATAATGGATCTATTGGTTTTGAAACCGTTTGCATTCACACGGTTGACACAGATATTGCTATTTACGCTTTGTACTTTCAAAACCAACTTCAAATAGAATTATTTGTGTATATTAGCGTCTCTACTGAAAGACGGACTCTTGATATAAATCTTATTGCCTCACAGTTAGGTACTGATTGTTGTAAAGCTCATATTGCTCTTCATGCATTTATCGGGAACAATTATATAAGTGCATTTTACGGGATTGGTAAGTCAAAGTTCCTTAAACTAATAAGACAGTCTGAAGAGTACAAGTCAATTTTTCCAAGGTTGGGGACTCTTATACCTTTAATGTTACCCATTTTGACCTTATACCTTTGATGTTACCCATTTTCGTCTTGTGAAAACACAAATGATTTGGACGACACCTAGATAAAAAAAACACCTAGACAAGCAGCCGTGGCGCAGTGGTAGCACACTTGCCTCAGAAACGTAAGATCTGTGGTTCAAACCCCACCTCTGGGCAAGTTTTGCGACATCGGTTGGGAAGGAGGCGTGAACTTCCTATTAAATGCTCTTCTGCCTAAAATCAACATTAAAAAAAAAAAAAAAAAAAAATATTATTCAACTGATTCGAATTTTCCTTTTTAAAAATCTGTTCACTAAATTTTTTTTTCGCGAAATTTGAAAAAATTATTAGGGTGACGTCATCAGGCTATTAGAATTGCTCGTAAGTTTTTCTAAAGGTTTTAATATTTAATTTAAGATTTTCTCAAGAGATTATTTAACGTTTGACGTAAATATATATTTTTTAGTTTAATAAAAAAAAAAAAAGGGCCCAAATGTGATCCTTTAAGCACTTTCAGAAAGGCACGTAAAGTTTTTCTCATTCAAAATATCAATGTTAAACTATTTAAGTAGTTTTTGTAATGTCCACTTCATTTCCAAGAAAAAGTTACACGTAGCGTGTAACTTTTTCTTGGACTAAAATTTTCTTTTAAAGTTCTAAAAAGAAAAACCAAAGTTTGAAACATCAGCGGTGGACTTGTTTGAAGTCTTCATAACTTCATAATGCTATCGTTAAGTGACCTCGCCGTATACTTTGAAATTTGCATGAAGTTTCATTACCGTTAAGTCAAGTCCACCAAGGTACCTTGTCTAACTAGCTTTCTGTTAAAATTTTTTAATTGATACTTTCTTTTTATTTGAATCTTAAAATTTAATTTCATTAATATATAATCTACACAAAAACAAAAACGTTGCTAAAAAAATTACTTTTAAAGCACTAGTAAATGGGTGAAAAAAAAATTGAGATCAAACGATTGAATCTGAAATTTTATTTTATCATAAAAACGAGTTTTTTATCCGGAAAAAAGATTCCTTTGTTCGTCAAATTTTCCGAGTTTTTATCTTAAAAACGTTTTTTTATTAATTATGATTTCTTCCTCTGTTTAAAAATAAAAAATCAAAATAATATTTATGATAAAATTAGATAAAATTTCAAGGGGGGCAATCGAATTTTCAAGGGGAACGTAGTTGACTCAAAGGGAGCAGCCTGCCCCCGTTGCACCCATACTCTACCCCTATGTTCATGGCTGTTCATTTATATAGAAAAAATGAAAAAAGTTTATTTAACCTTGGTTTGATTTTTATCGAAGGACGTTGTACGTCAGAAATAACTTTGGAAATACTGTCACAAAAATTAGAAGAGTTTGGTCTTTCCTTACAAAAAGATATTGTGACTGTTATGAGCGATGCTGCTGTGGTTATGAAGAAATTTTGTAGATTATCGCCTGCCTTGCAGCAATTATGCTACAATCATGGCATACATCTAGCATTTTTAAAAAGCTTTTACGCTCAACCGAAAAATGAAATAAATAAATTCGTAGACGAGCATGAGACTGTAGATAGCGACGATGATGCTAGCATTGGAAGTACAGAAGAAGATGACTTTGATTTAGAAATTGATGTGTTACCTAGCAAAAACTTTCATCTTAAATCCCAAATTAAAGATACAATTGTAGGAATACGAAAAATTGTAAAACTCTTAAAAAATTATCCAGTGAAAAATGGTGTTCTACAAAAATATGTAAAAGACCAAGAACAAAAAAAATTGGCTTTGCTACTAGACTGTAAAACACGCTAGAATACTTTTGAAATAATGGTGAAACGGCTCTTAAAAATCAAAAACTGTGTGCAAATGGCATTAAGTGAATTAAATTTGAGCCATTTGCGGAAAGATAATTACATACAAATGGACGAAATTCTATTAGCTGTATTAGAACCAACACAAATAACTGTAGAAGCTTTAAGTCGAGCTGATACAACATTATTAACGGCCAAAGGAGCCCTAAAATTTTTATTTAATAAATTAGAGGAAGAATTAGAAAGAACCAAATAAGTAGAGAATTCTTAAACAATATAAAAGAACAAATGAGTAAATGGAGAAATGATAATGTTGTATCTTTATACAAATTTTTACATAACTGAACAAATGATAAAAAATAATTTTAATCACAGTTATGAGTCTTAACATTTGTTGTCAAGATAGTATCAGATTGATTGTAGTTTTTGACTTTTCTTGACTTCTCCTCATTCTGGACACTAATAAAATTTAAATGATTAAAAAGGCCAAATCGTTTTTTATACGTCTTCTTCAGTTTCTTAAAGCAAAATCTACAATTGGATATCATTTATAATAATAAGCCTAGCACCTACTGCGCTCAGCTGAGTTCAGAAAATTTGGTTGCAAATTTTTATTTGTAAATGAGAATGTAATTTAAAGCAGATCACATGTGCGACCCAGTGTTTTTCTGCTTGTGTTAAAAAGATATTTTGCGCATTTTAAGAGGTTTTATTGAAAAACAATTAGAAAAAAAGTAAACATAAAAAATAAATTTTCATGTTTCTTTATCTTATTTCAACATATGATGTCTATGGACAAATCTATAACTTTAAGAAATTAAAATGTTGTGAAATTGTCTTGCTGCCCTCAAATTTCATTTTTATACGATTTTTTACATTTTCACCAATGTTTAAAAAATAAAGTATTGCCATTTTTGTGGTAAAACTAATATACTGAGCTTAAAAATTATAGGAGAGAAAAAATTATTTCAGTTTTAGAGTGCTGGGGGTCTTTAGATTACATTTAAAAAAAGAAATTACTCTAATATAAAAGTTGATTTTGATGGATCATGGCCGACAACACGGGTTTTGAAGTGGGGGGGGGGGAGGGACAATCATCAATTTGTGAAAATAGTCTTTATATCAAGATTTTTCTTAAAAAAAAAAAGAAAAAAAAAAAGTCCTCTAGAAAAAAGTGGGGAGGGGGGGGCATGTGCTCCCTGGCTCCCTTGGTGTCGTCGGCCTTGTGGATTTTGCTCACCTCTGCCCACTGTAATAGCAGGGAAAAATAATTTACTTCGAATATCCGAAGTTTTAAAAAACTGAAAATCCACTTTAAAGTTTTATTTAAAATTCGATGTTTACAGAAATTTTGCAGAAGAAGTTGGCATTTGAAATAAATATCAAAAAAAGAAACAAAAAAATTTTCCAAATAAATAAAATTTTGCATAACTGCTGGGTTCGATCCAAAATATGAAGATTATCAAACGAGTAACTGAAGGATGTTTTCTTAAGTTATTCGAACTGCAACTAACGGTAGTTAAGGTATTGTTTTATTATTGATAGTATTACTTTATTTATTATTTATACTCAATAGTTCAAACTAGATGCCTATGTCATAAAACTTTTTAATGGTTTTCTTTTGCTTAGATGAATTGCTTTTTTTTTTTTAATTATTGTTTTGACT